ATTCTAACATTGCCATGCAGCCCAGTTTGCCGTTGCTTCTTTCAATGAATGCGTAGCATCCTTCTAATAGAAACCTTTTGAAGAGCTGTAAAAAGACTTATTGTTAGAAGGTCTAATTCATTTTCTACCTAGGGTGTATAAAAATCTCTGGAAGCTTTCTTTTTTTTTGAACGGTGCCTCCGGACAATTTGGTGCAACAGTGGGTTTTCGGGACCTATCACTCATGACTTCCGTCAAAATATTTTCTGTGGAAGCCAAGCTCATTGAATTGTAAGGCTTGGTTCTCAAAAACGGTTAGACGTTCTAATAATGCATTTTTCGAAAAAATCGCCGCTCGAAATTTTGCATAGATTCCAATATGAAGGTGTCCTTCATATTTACGAGACTTAAAGGGATCATCCACGGCAAAGTTATTCCTTCCCTCCTGATGGACGGCATCTGCCACGGCAGTGATGACCGGAAGTGCCTTTGTGACGACGTGAGGAGTCACATGGAAGTTTTTGGGAAGAATTAACATGGAACACTTCCAACTTCACGTTTTCAAAACATTTGTACATAGCTCTTTAAGGCCAACAGTTGTGACACAGGAATTCAAATCTCTTATAGGGGCCCAGGTTCCTTGCATTAATAACAAATTACATTATTTGCCGCTCTTTTTGCTATAATTCTGTTAAGGATGAGGCAAGGTTTTTTCCGAAACGATTCCTTCAAGCTCTCTAAGTGAAGAAATTTTGAGACTTTGGCGCGAAGATCTTGCTTGTATGAAGTTTTTGTTTTGAGCCTTACGAAGTGAACCCTTGCTTGCCTTGCACTCTCCAACACACTTTGATTCGAGCACGTACATATGCATTCGTTCAAAAAGCATCTAGTAGCTAAGGTCTAATCAAATCTGAGGGGTTTCGCAGTAGCAGCTTCTGCTGTGGGATGCGCCACGCAGTCGCGTACTAGCCAAATTTCGAAGTGGCAAAGGCGTTTTCAAATCTATTGAGCGTGGGCTCCCTACCCCTTCCCCATCATCTGTGAGCTGAATACGATCCCTCTTTCCCTCTCCCCTCCCCGTTCACGCATGCAAACAGCCTTTCTCGTTGTAACTTGTTCAACTCATTAGCAATGTTCAAAGCTGAAACCGCAGCTGTCCTCCAGCCGTCTGAGCTTTAGAGACAGGAAACGTGGAGAGAAATTTACATGACGTAGGTACATAGCTTTACAGCTTTTTGCTGCGAGGTTCATACTTGCAGATCCTCAAAAACTCCCCTAAGGGCGAATCGTCCTTGCTAAAAAACTCATTTTTTGATAAACACTGCAATTTAGCGATTCGGCTATTTAGTAATAAATTCTTCTAATGGCTAATTATAATGCAATATAGGTGTTACTGTTGCAGAGGAGAGCTAGCTAGACACTTCGAAGGGGAAAGTCGTGTTGGCTTTAAAAGGGATCCATTACCTGTACCGATCAGTACCGTAGCTGAGATCAGCCAAGCATCACAGCTGACTATGATTCGAAGACAGCGCCATGGAATGACTACATCCTATTTCGCTCCATCAATTGGGTAGAGGGTAAAGGTTTCCAGTATATAGGAGTATGTTTTGAGTTGTACTTTTGAGCTGAACGTTCCACTTACTCCAGTTTAGAGGAAGCGTGGATCCTTGTGGAAGCGATCACGTTGGCTTCCACATGGATCGGCGAACTCCGCGTTATCAACCGACAAGGTCGGGGATAGACAGTGGTTAAACGAGCGTTACCCTACGGAAAATACGGTATGTTTAGATGAGAAGCAGGTTGGCTCGCCTGAAGAGAGGTGCTGCTCCAGCAACCGATACACTGCGAAACGATCACGACACCGTCCATACTCTATCACGTTGCCACACTGCACTCCCCCCTAAACGTCTGACAAGGAGGTGCAACGGCGAACCGAAAGTAAGTTTACACACCTTATCACGTCCGCTGATAAGGCGTCACTGCCACTAAAGCGTCATTTGTCCTTGGGTATAACCCATACACGATCCACTATCTCACTTTTCCCATTTCTCCGTAAGGACTATTCCGTGGACACGTCCTTCACCAGGAACACGCGATTAGGCTACGCCTCAACTGTTGCGTCCGTAAATTTGGGACTGTCTGTTGTGGTGGTAGGGTCTACAGTGGCGAAAAGAAGTAAAAAACCGTCGAGTTCATAAAAAACCACAACGCGCTGATTGTATGGGGAGAGTTTGCGTTTTGCTCACATGGATCTCATTGGTTGGCCCCATTTCCATGTTTCACTTCATCAAAGGAACAACCATTCTTGAGAATTCCGCAGTAGTACAGTGCGGTGCAAAATCGGAAAAAAGCGACACCCCCCCCCCCCAAAAAATATGAATATTTCAGCTTCTAGGAATTGTCATTCACAGAAACCTGTAAAATCAGAACCACCTTCAAGATGAACCTATACTCACAAGTTATCAGGTTAACCAGCTAGTTTTCCATATTTTTAGACAAATTTTTAATTTTAGAGCCGTGCCAACAACGTACATAGAACACCCTCCTTCGAAACCTCAAAAATACAGAAATGCGCCCGAATCTTATTACTCTGGTACGTCAAAAGGAACCGCCTTAGGAGAACTACTCTATCCATACAAGAAGAAACGCTGCCGCAACTTTTTATACAGATTTAAATCAAAGTGGTGGCGGCGATCACAGGAACTCCGCTTGATCAACTTTGAATCGTGTGGGTTACTTGCGCCAGCCTGGACGTAAGCAAACCAGCCCTTTTGGCGCTTCGGCTGGGACCGTATGCTGAATGTTGGGGAGGGGATGGAGTCCCCGACGGTGGACGGACCACTTCAACTCGGTCCTTAGAACCGCCACAATTTGGTGCTTACCTCAGAACTAAGCCTTAAAGAAAGAGAGGACGGAAGAGGGGCGCTCGGGCGGGGGGTCGCGTGTCCGTCCCCTCTCCAAGGCTTAGACCTGGGGGTGAGCAAACCAGCCCTTCTGGCGGAGCTGCTGGACCAGCTGCACCACTTGCGTCAGTACTCTCCTATCGTACCAACCGAGTTGAAGTAAACCGTCGACCGTTGGGGACCCCATCCCCTCCCCAACATTCAGCATACGGTCCCAGCCGAAACGCCAAAAGGGCTGGTTTGCTTACCTCGCAGCCATTGCTAACAAGAAGTCCCCACGTTCGGAAGACGCGCTAATTCAAACAGCGCGCCACTTTTTTGCTGGCCATTCCATGAAGTTGAAGTCAGTAAGTTTGTTTGTAACCACTGGCTCATTGGAAGCCCTTGCATGACAAGGTGTGTTACTTGTCAAAAAGGTAGTCTTTTACGCGAAATCTGTAAAAGAGAAGAGAGCAGCTGGTTCTCTGCGCCTTTCCTGCTCTCTAGTAAACTCATTCCAGTGGAGAAAAACTTCAGGTCTGGGACTCAGGATGAGGTTACGCATCCACACATCTTTAGGAAACTACCACGAAAATTTCGTTGAAAGGAATATCGTCGAAACCTGGCCTATATTCCTCTACTAGTGAACAACGTCATCTGAACCATCAATGTTAAACTCCTTGTTACCAAGGAAAAGCGGTCTGAAAGGAACAAAATACTCATAATCTTGAATGAAAATTTGCTCAACAAAGCCCAGCCTTGGCCCAGTCTTTCGTTTGAATTTCTCTTCTCTGGTTTCAGTCAGAACGCCTAACGCATGGCAGCACGCTTCGCAGGACCCTACGCTAGTTGTCCATATCAATGATTTTGCGGATGGTTTCGGTTTCTATCCGCTTTCTTCGTAGAGCTGACACAGGCTGAGCGTGCATGGTGATTTTGTTTGATGTAGTCTTCGAGGTTATAGCTAATCCTTTTGGAGAACTTCTGCTATTTATCCTGGTGCTCTCTTATTTCTATTCGTAGTGAGAATTTGGAGCACCAAGCTATGGTTTTCTTTGAGCTCCTAAAAATGGCTTCGATGCTCATGGTAGAGCCATCAGGCGCGTATAAAAAGAAAGTCTGGCTTTCACTCGCGGAGGGAAAGGGAGCAACTCAAACCGTAACTCTAGTAGAGTTGCCCATACACCGAATAAGTGCTACTATCGTTGCTGGTTGGATAAAAAAATTCAACTGTAAGGAGAATTCCGAGGGGTGTCCTATGATTTTGCACCGGCTCCAAAATTAAAAAAAAAAATGTCTAAAAATACGGAAAACTAATCGGATAATCTGGCTACTTGTTTGTATAGGTTTTTTATAGAGGCGGTTCTGATTTTACAGTTGCGATGAACGACGTTTCTAGAAGCCGAGATATTCATATTTTTGGGGGGTGTCCTATGATTTTGCACCGCACTGTATGACGCAGGATGCAACTTTTAGGGTTCTTACCATTTTTTTGGTTCCTACTTTACTAGCGTACACAATTTACACAACCACGTTCTTATACTAGCGCAATGATCTTCATCATCACTCGCGAAATGTGCCTTCAGTCGAGTGGCTGTGTCGTTCGCGGCCCTTAGGACTTGACTGTAGTTCTTGTGCAAGAATCATCGAAATCAGCCTAGACCTGCGCACACGTCCACGAACGCCTGCGAGAATTTCTATCGCTAAAAAGGGTAGTATTGAAATGACGCTGTCGGCGACCTGGTTACAAAGAACAGCCAACACCTATTGGGTGGACTCCTCTGTAACTTCGGCGAGGCAGTCCGAGAAGTAGAGTACCAAGTAGTTCACCTTGCTAAAGAATGGGTTAATACTAATTATTATATATTATTTATTTCTGTACCTATTTATTTCTATTTCTCTCTGCTATATTTTATGAAACTCACAGGATTATAATAATTTATTACTGCTGATGCATACTTCAAGCAATGAATCTTCAACTATAAACAGATTTCTAGTAACTCAGAAGAAATTTCTTTTACCGGTTTTCCAATAATACTTCGTCGACGGATAATAATTTGCTGAAAATATACAGTAAAATCGATTGGATGTCCTCGCGTTTCAAAATTAATGTCAACAATCCTGCACATTATTTAAAAATTATGTAGCAATCTTGTAATACAATTCTTCATCAAAGTCCTGGATGGCGTTGCGCACTTCGTCAAACTTGAACATGTGGCGTGCCATCTGCATCATTGACATCTGAACGAAGATTCTGATCGAAAATGTACCAATTTAACTAATGCCATATCTCGTAATAACTTTCTTTTTTCTTGCTCATACCTTATCTCTATTTTGTTTACTAAGATCGGTCACGTGGCACAGTCACCACCTTTGTCTATCATATGTCGTAGCACTATGGAGATACGCAGCGCAGCGAGGAGAGCGAAAACGCAAGAGAGCGCGTCATATGTGAGAGGGCGCAGACGCCCATGGGCTGCGATTGGTAAAAATGGCAGCGGTCGCAGCGGAAAGGCGAGCGGTAAGGTTCCAAAATCTCTGTCGGAGTCGCAACTTTTAAATTAGTGAAAGCCTCGAGCACATCATATGTGATCGGCCCCCAAGCTCTCAAAGAGATTTTAAGATCTAATCGCACACCGTGCTCTTAATAACCACGGCCGTGGTGGGCCAGAAGCCAGTCAAGATGCCGTGAGGAAAAGAGAGTTCTCTAACTACAAAAATCGCGACGTTGTGTCCAACCCAAAATGGGCGGCAAGGACAGTGATCGTGCTCGTCCGTTACGATCTGCCATATCATTAATTGCGGATAAGTGACATTCTGCACCCACTGCGTAGTCGCATAATAATCGTTACTATTTCCTTTCTCGTAGCGCTGCCTCTTCTCATACCACACGGTCTACCTCACATTGAACACACCAGCCGTTTTTGCCATGGCCTCATTTGCTTTTTCTCCTCAAAAACGATCCATATCGCACTCCTTGTCCAATTACAGAGCAAAGTAACACACCAATTTGATCTCGAACCGTGCTTTTAAGGGTTACCCTGAGGTATGCTTTTCAACCATCGAAAGTGATATGAAGTTTGCTACTGTCATTTACTTCAAAACAGAGAACAGGAGTGCACGCTCAACTGTAAAGCTCGACGAAGAATATTGTGAATATATTGCTTTCTCTTCTTTTACCCGTCCCTATGCATATAAGGTTTCTTTCCTGCGCATGCACTTCCTCCACAGGGGCTTCCCTCTAATTTGTGATCGATAATTTTGAATACGCTATGAAGTCGCTTTCTTTTGCGGATTGCCCGCCGGGGATGTTCCATATATTATGTCTCCTTAACCAGAGAAAGGCATTATATTCCCATGAACGTTAAATTAAAACTCATATAGATGGGATAGAATTTAGAACGCTGATTACAAATATTGAAACTAAAACTGCAAAATGAACTCGCCAAAGTTGCGAGCAGCCAAACTTGGCTGTAAGTGAAGCTTCACATATGAACCGTGCTAGCCTTCGGCTTTCAGAGCCGCCGTGGAGTAGCGGTAATTCTCTCGCTCTCCACCGGTAGGATCATACGTTCTCTTCCTGTTCATGTGCAAAGTTCGAGATCGCTACCGCTACTCAACGGCGGATCGAATACCAGGACGGTAGCACGGTTTAAATATTGCCGCCGCTTCAATTCCCCGCTATTTTTGACTGCTCAAAACTTCTTTGGCAGGTCTATTTTGCAGTGTTGGTTTCCATATTTGTAATCAGCGTTAGAAACTTCTAGTCGATCTCCATCTAGGTCTTCATTCAAAGTTCCATGGGAAGTTGAATGCCTTCCCTGTGCGTTATACCCCGCCATATATATTACGCATCGCTTCTCCGTCATTCAGTTTTTTTGTGCATTAGCAGCCCTTTGCGGAGAAACAGACAGATAGACTGACTGACAAACAAACATCCCGACAAACATGTTGCCAAGTGGCATTAAAAGTAAGTATTCATATAAGTGATAGAATAGTAGGAAGTACCTCACGATATCTCTCATCATTGGCAGGGCTCGGATTTGCTGATTGGCGAGGAGCAGGACTTAGTGACTCCCGCTCACTTAGGAAGCGCATCACGATTTCTTCGCGACGATTCTCGATTGCTTGGTGGTATTGTTCTGATGTTAGACTAAAACATGTGCCATTTATCTGATCAGCCGAAAAAAAAAAAAACAAAAAAAACAGAGAAAAAAACAAGTTATTACCCTCATTGGTGCTAAAACTTGTCTGCAACGACTTCCCTTATTCTCGACGACCGTACTCCTAGGAATAATTGTTTGAGTTCTGAAGCAGTGAGCCTCCATTTGAAACTCGTGATTGAAAGGCGGCGTTTACGATGAGAAAAAAAATTGAGGTAGAGGTGGTCAGTGGTTCAGATATAAGGAAACGGCCCAGAACTCGAGAAGTGGGACCCATTCTTCGCCTGTTGATTTCCGCATCGATGAGATTTCTTACCGTAGCTGCAGTCTTCAGCGCTAATAGTCTCTCTGCCAAACAGCTCGAGCCAAACGAACGAAAGGGCGAGCGTACAACAGCGCGTGTGACACAAGTATGGCCCTGCTAGATCGTTGGAGCCCCAAAATGCACATCTCCCCGCACCCTTAGGGGACCTGTCTGCCTTTTGAATAGGTACAGTTCTCCTCTTCAACCAGACCTTATCGTGAAATCCTCTCTTAAATGATCAACTCAAGTCATGAGAGGGAGTCTCTACCTTAGGTAAACGCAGAGAAAGCGAAAATCGTACTAAAGGTAGCTGTAATCGGTGGCTTTTGGAAGGGAAATGTGGCTGAGGTGCACCTTCGCTTGGACAAAGTTACGGCACACTGAGACAAGTAAAGCAGAACAATAATACACGTTTCAGGCAATCCCTCGGTAAGAACACTATCAACATCCACTATTCCTCTCTGGAATGTCCCATACAAACCTACGCATGTGCAGGCGCTCCGGGACAGCAGATGGACGATCTAGAGGTCTCCTATAAAAGATCCACTGGGCTTCAGCCGGGGAAACTTCGGTAGTGGGTACCAGACGGTGTGAGCTGCAATGGGCAACTGTGGTGTAGAAGCTCTGGCTCATGTGTCGAGTAGAGCGGACATCAGCAACTAGGAGGATGTTCTTGGTGACCAGTTGTTCTTCCTGATTGAAGATCGTCGAATCCTTTCATATTCATTCATGACTCGGCCTTTATCCACTGCAGAGCCGATTGCTGAACAGCGATTAGCGTCAACCAAGTCAATGTTCTGGATTGGCCCGCACACAGTTCAGATCTAAAACCTGCAGAAAACACCTGATAATTCATTGTGAACTAGATCTTGGCCGATGGTAAGCAGTAAAATATGGTGGAAAACCTTGAGGGCGCTGTTCATACTTTGCAGTACCATCATGATGGTTTAATCTGTAGAAGACTCCAATCGCCGTCCAGGCACATAGAGATCTAAAGCGCTTTCACTAAACATGCCCGCAGAATCTGAATGAGGTAACAGGAAGAAAAAAATCTTACTTTGGCGCTCATGGTTAGGCGGGGGAGCACTGTAGTGAGCGAGGCACCTCCAGAATATGGGACTAAGTTCCTTAATGAGAATTTTTTAGCTTTATTGCTTTGGGGCGGAAGTGGTGTAGTGGCAAGTGGCACGCTTACCACGCGAGCGGTCCGGGGATCAAATCCTGGGTCGTGAGTCGCCCGGGCCAACCAAGCCTTCCATCCCTCCGGGGTCGGTTAATTGGTACCAGACTTGTCTGGGAGGATAAAAAAACACTGACTTGTACATCGGCTGGCCCCCGCAAGTCATTGTATAGGCCACATCGCATTCAAACGCCACTACGAATGTACAAATGGAAGTAGAATGCGTGCCGCATCCCAAAAAGGGATTGATCAACGGCAAATGCTTTATCCTTTCCTTATCTTTCGAATAATTCGACTAGATTCAACATGCTGAATTTATTAATTAAGTAAGCCTAGAACCTTTATCCTTACCAGTAACAGCTGTTTTCCAGATGTTCCCCTATACTTTTAAAACGCCGTGCATAAAATGACCTCATTGTTATATAAAACAGAGAGGCACCAAGGTTCTGTATCAAAAGAATGGCAAAAGTTCACAGAGCTGCAAATATTGTTTAAAAAAACAAGCCGAAAATAGAAAGAATTCCATTGAAAACATCTGCGATATTCGCGTAATAAGATTCTCCAGGCATGGGTTTGCTTCAGCCAAGAGCAAATCAGAAGGTCAATTCCACTCCATTCACGTTCATCATTAAGGGTAGCTTTATCCTTGGCTGAGGCAAATCCATGCCTGAAGAAGGTGTTATACACCGAAATATCGCGGAAGTTTCCAAAGGAATTCTTTTAATTTTTTGGCTTGTTTTTTTTTTTTGGACTTTTGTGAACTTTTGGAATTCTTTTGGAATAAAACTTTTGGAGCCTCTCTGTGTTAACAAATTTAGGTCCTGATGAGGCTCCGGGACAGCACAATACTAAGAAAATGACCTTAGTGTTGAAACCCTATGATCACAATAACCATCCGTCGAGAGGAAGAGATGTCACATGAAAGCAGATCTTAGCAGAAAAACGTCTATTATATGAGAGTCGTACATTCTGAAAACCAGCACTTTCTCTGCGAGGTTGAACATGCTGCTCCTCGTCAGTAACATCTGAGTAGCAACCACCTTCTAAACTGAATTACATGAAAACTAAACGTCCACTAAATGCAATCATGTGGAACAAAATCGCTTGCCTTGAAAATCATCACGACTGGACTCGTCATCATCAGGATTCAAGAATTCATCGATCTAAAAACAATTCACATCTAACACAATCGTCGCCTCGCTTGGGTTTTCAACTTCCAGCTAGACGGCGAAAATCAAAATTTGTGGTCCCCCAGCCCTCCCCAATTAGTCGCAATACGAGCGAGTTAGCCGTCCTTTGGACTAAATCCAACGTGGGGGGAGTCCTATTCTGCCAACGAAAGAGCGGGGTCGTATTCGTAGAATTCAATGTCGTAATACGTGGAGTGACGAAATTTAACACAGATGCGAATAAAACCTAGGCGCAGGCTCACACCATTAAACGATTAGAATCAAGACGTTTGCTCTCGCGACAGTAGGTGAGGGGTATAACTTTCGAGTGCTTCTCCAACTATTAACCACAAACGAGTGCATGGCGCACCTCAGAGCAGAAGAGTCTACTGCGAAAGTGCCCATATTTAACTGTTCACGTACACTAAATATTGCTCTACAGGAAAACCAATGTCTTCAGACTTTGTAAAAGAGTGACCACTTGAATAGATTGACTTTTAAAGGCTTACAAGAAAAACCGGAAAAAATATTTGGTTGCATGCAACTTCCTGGAAAGACGGTTCAGTATTTGTTATGAAGCACAAAGCTTATGCAATGTC